CACACACACACACAGAAAAACACAGATGCATACAAAACATAAAATTGATTAACCGTGGCTTCTGGAGAGGCAAATCAGATAATGGGCCATTGAGAGGCATTGTGCAGCCATTTGTTGTGTATTTGAATAGTTTCTCTGGGGTTTTGATTTTTTCCTGTCCTGTCTTGAAAACCATCTACTATTCTAGCTGCCACATCACACAGCCTAACCCTCTCTTATTACCAGTGATGGAAAGTAACTCCGTTCCTTTACTCAAGTACTGTACTGTATTCTGAGTATTTCCATTTCATACTACCTTAAACCTCGACTTCACTATGTTTCAGAGGTAAATGTTTGCACTCCACAACATTCATCTGATGATAAAAGCAAAGTAATGATTGCCTATGAGTTTTTTGTACTACTACAGTGCAGCAGTGAAAAAAACTGTTTGTTTTGAGGTAAAATCATCGAATCTCTCACAAAAAGCAAATATTAGAGAAAAAACATTAATAGATTTTTGTATCACAGCATTCTCTTTCCTCTCCCATTAATCATCTCATGACACTTCAAATTTATTTTGTGACCCTTTGGAAGAGCCTGACCCCTATATAGAAATTAAAATGACATCCTCCTTGACCAGGTGCAACAGTAAAATGCTGCTTAAACACTCATGCACCAATTTAAAAATGTCATACATAATAATGTTCATTATTTGCAGGGAAATTTATGCAGAACTAGTTTAGCCTTTGAGCTGCAAATAATGCCGTACTTTTACTTAAGTAGGAATTGAAATGCAACTGAATAATAGTCGCTGATGCCTCTTTTTAATACCTCAAAAGCTGAACTCTTTTTTTTGTTTGACCTTTATTTAACCAGATAAGACAATTGAGAACCAGTTCTCATTTACAATGACGACCTGGCTAAGATGCAGCAGCAAGAGGAAATCCAATACAACAACTAAAACACCTAATGCAAAAAACAACTGAGTTAAATATACAGCACAATATATACAGTATGTACAAAGTGCTGTGTTCCAGAGAAGTAGATTTAAAAGCAGGTGCAATGATCAGAAATGAATGCATGTACTGAGTTACTGAAGGAGGATAATGGAAAAAAAGGCTGCAGTTTTAGCAACTTTTGCAACTGGTTCCAGTCACTCAGAGCGGCAGACTGAAAAGAGTGATAGCAGAAGGAGGTACGGACTTTGGGGTGTCCAGAGTAATGTATTTGCTAGAAATCATGGTTACTGTTAGAAATGCTGAGTAGAGAACAGCGATATGGAAGGGTTTTGCCATTGATAGTTTCATAAATGAACTGGTACCACTGGATCTAAGGCCTGGTGCGGAGGGATGGCCAGTTGACTAGAGAGCACAAGTTGCAGTGATGAGTATTGAAAGGGGCTCAAAAACTTCAAAAAGTGAACTCAGATCGGTGCAGACTTAATATGAACACAAGCACTGTGTTGATTTTTACACTCTCAGAGTGAAATTAACACTGACAATTTTGCTGTGTAGTTAAATCATGGGGCTAAAGCTGGGGCTAAATTTCATGCTTCTTGAGTACAGACTCTGTTAAAGGCCTCATTATTGACTGAATGAATTGCCTGCAGATGTTCATCTATTCATAACGTGGATTTACATATTCAAACAGATTACACTGGAGAAGAAAAAAGCTTTGGTGAACAAACATTTGACTTCGCCTTTGAGGGATGCTACATTTAACATAAGACGACATATAGTGATTATTTACTTTAATTTACTGAATCCAGTTCAAGATCAAATAAAAATCAGCATCTAATGAAAACACTGAAATATAACACTAATACAACCATAAAAACACAAGCATATGGTTTGTATCAGTTATACTCATGCTGATTCTACTTACTGTGAGTTGTTGCCACTGCAGATGTCTTTATTCAACATCCCAAATAATACAATAAAGCCTCAAATAAACACAATCAAAAAATAATTGGTTGCATTTCTTACGAAAAATACATAATTGAATACAATAAATTATGTACATCCTTTTTTCCTCTGTACTTCATTTTTTCAATCTGTATTATTAATCCTTTTTGCTCCCAAGTCACAGCTGTAATCCAGACAGTTTCTTTAATTCATCTTTGGACATTTTATTGCCGTTATTTGCACTACATTTTTAACAGCTAATGTCTCAATTTAGGATATTTTAGATAATCATATTAAGTATTTATTTATTCTGTGGCATGCATTTAATTCAGGCCGTTCTGTAAATGACAAGAAGTAATTTAATCTGAGCCTTCTGGAGATGTCAGGGACCCGATTCAACTAAACATCTGTGACGGGAGGAGCGAGGCTGATAACAGATGACGCTCAACCCTGTAACATTTTGATTAGTTTGCTGCAGAATGGAGCTGGTCCTGTAGATTTAGGATGGTATCGTTTGATAATCTGTATTCATATTTTCGTGTTTGTGCATAATCTTTTCACATCTGACTTGGACTTCTGTATGAATGCTCCCTTTGGATTATGACACAAAAGGCTGCAACAACAGAGCCTGCTTACATGTACGACAAAAACAATAAATCAAGCTTTGACTGAAGCTCAAGCTTTTGTTGTCCCGTTGTTTCCATTAGAGATGGGATAAATAATCAATATTGCAATATACTGTGGTGTGGTCTGTTAATATAATGACCCCTACAGTGCAATATGCTCATTTGTGATACTGAGGCATAGGTTTTGTTCCTTTCCTGCACACATATGACATCTCAACGATTCTGCTATCTGTCAATTCAGCCTGTAGCCAGTTTATAGCTGACATCTGACATTCAAAAAATGGGACACATGTACATTCTGAAGATTGTGTTAAAAGCATACATCATTCCTTCTCAGCTGCGAAACTGAAATAACTTCATAATGAAAGACAGCACATGATGAATTTCTGCTTTAAGAAAAACTGTTGTGCAATTTTTAGGGGTATTTTTTGTTCTTCAGTTGCACAGATTGTCACATACAAACCCAGATTTTATGTCCAAATATTGGTATATCTCCAGTTCCAAGAGGATAGTGTTCAGAGAAGTAAAAAGGTCCTCTAGCAGAGCTCAGAATACTCTTCCATTAACACGGAGTGAAGATAAAAATGGCAAATACTGTGGAAATCTTAGTGGTCTCATGGTGAAGACACATGCCATATACGTAAGTTCAACATCTCTTTCAATTTTCTGTCTGCATATCTACTATAACCCATCTTGTAAAGGCCAAATGCCCCAAAATACAATCTTTACAAAAGTGTCAAATCCATATGAGCTGCTGAAATATACACTACGAGAGCTTGTGCCGCAAATGTCACTGTATTTTTTAATCCTGATTTTCACACAGTTCTTTGTATCATTGAAATGTTATCAGATTACTAGACACAGATAAGTGCCTGTATTGACACCAATATGAATAAAATATTGTTATCTGAAAACCACACGATTAACGTAATCACTCACCTCCATGGGAATATTCCAGGCCATGTAGACATGGCTTTTAAATTCATCCATCCAAACCTCTGCAACTCTGAGGGCATTTCGCCGCACATGAGATGTTAGATCCTCAGTGTAAGGTTTGTGAGCGCGCTCTATGTGGGCGATGCGAGCACAAGGCAGGACCTCAACACTGCCGCCACACTGCCACACCTGGTTTTCAAACATTACACATACAAAGACAAGAGAAAATTAGTCATTAATCTACAGTAGCAGCCTAGTCTGACTTTACTTTTAATAGCACAGTTGAAAATGCCTCCCCCTCCAATTACTCAAGCTGCCAGGGAACTCAAATCCTATGAAAAACTGAATTTTACTACTGATTTATTAACTTAAAAGAATTAGATATGTTGTAGAGATATATCAACCCTCATTAATTTCCACTGATCCATTTCAGTCAATGCATTTGTTTATTGTATAGTATTTATTTTATTTTGTATGTGTTTACTACTTGTATCTCTGTTCTGATGGTGAGACTAAAAAACAGACAGTTACTCAGATTGGAGCAGTTGGGGGATCTTCATACAGCAGGCCAAGATGGCATCATTTCTAGACTGCTTAAAGCACATTTTGGCCAACAAGCAAAGGCCCTTCATCACTTCTGAAGCCTTGTGTATCCCTGACAGTGAGGAGTAAGTCCCCATGGTGAAAAAAAATGTTAATGTCCCAGTGCCCTGGAGGAGACGCCTGAGTCCTTGATGACTAAAAGCCGGTGGCACTAACTCCTCGCATAATGAAGACCTCTGGTGCAGGGATCTTTGCAAACTTTTCCCAACAGTGATACCTCCATCCACTGCAAATGGTGGCGATAATAGATTCCTTCATAATGACTAAAAGGAAGCAAAGAAACCAGTGCAGTTGCCTTTTTCATATTGTGCTTTCATATCACTGCTTACACAATAACATAATTTGCTTTTTCCATAAGTTTCTAATAACATGCAATCAAGCATTATAATTGTTGGTTATCTGGTCATGTTTATTTACGTAAACCCACTTTATGTCTATTCTTATTTATTTATTTTTTTTAAATCTTTAACAGCCCTAATAGCCCATATGAGTCATTAACTTTTCAATTTATGTTGTCAATTTTTGAATAACATTAATATATCAGTATGCAAGTATATTCCTTTCTGAGTCACAAAAACGTTGAAAATAACTGTATGAGAATTAAAGAGTGGAGGGAAATTAATTAAAGAATGAATTAGGCCGTACACTGCTGCTGATTAGTATCTGAAGAATTTGAATGGTATCTCAATGCAATTCAAAGACTCCACAGAAGCAACAAAGATGTCCTATTCTGTTTAAATGCTCACATTTGTATGGGGTCATCAAAGGAGATGTCACTACCAGAGACTGTGGAGGATGCTCCGAAATCACTTAAATGTGCTGAACTTAACATTAGTCCAGGACACCCGGTGGTTCAGTATGAATAAGGTTGAAATCATCATGCTGCGCTGTTATGTGAGGACCAAATAGCACAGCTGACATCCTTCTAAAGTAAAATGTGTCATTTCCATCCTTCTGCCAAAGAACATCATCAAGAACATCATCAAGGATGAACAACAAACATCAGATGTAGCATAAACCGTGGATGTGATTGGGACACTAATGACAGGACACGCTCTGCGGCTGCTGAAATAGAGACGTGACCATGACTTGTTCGTGTGTTATCACTGACAATTATAAATTAATTAATTAATTATAACTTTTACTGATAACAAAATCAAATTCAAAAGAAGATTTTTTTTTCAATTTCTTTTGCAACAGTAAACCCTGAACCCGTTGGAGGTCCTGCAACTAGAATATACAGCTGGAAATTAGCTGAGCTTTATGTACATAATAAGCATACACTGTGTATTTACTCAAATACACTTACATATTCAAGGAGCTGTATTGTTAACAGGCAGGAGGACTGAACATGTATTTCTACAGCTGGAGTTTTCTGGGAGGCAATTGATCAAAATATCGATATAACAGTTCAGACTATGAAGCTACCTGAGGAACATCTTGTAATTATTTCCCCCAATTTTAAGATTGACACAGACCTGAGCTTTTTGTAGATATTCTACAAGTTATACTGAATTAAAGGCACATGTGCTATTTAAATTCAATGCCTTAAAGGTCCAGTGTGTAACATTTAAGAGTATCTGTTAGCAGAAATGGAGTATAATATTCATAGGTATGTTTTAATTAGTGTATAATCACCTGCATATAGGAATCATTGTGTTTTCATTATCTTACTGTTGCTGTTTTTTTTGTCAGATATTTGCAGAAAAACAAAAACAGTGTTAAACAGGAGCTGCACTTTGCAACACAGACCCTTTCACTTGTAACACACTACTACTGCATGTGCGAACTGTACAAGTGGCTGCCACTAGCTAGTTAATTTATTTGTTATGTCATTACTGCTTTTTTCGTTACCATTTAACAGGCGGCTGTTAACATATATATTTAAATGATTTAATGAACAGCATAAATGTTCGACGACCAGTCAACCATCGGCTGTATTTAACGACTACTAGTCTTCTAGGAAAATCCTTAGTCGGGGACAGCGACCCCGACTAAGTTCAGGTCAGGTCAGGTTCAGGTCCTTTAAGAGAAACTGGTTAGTTGTGGCCGCTGCAGTTGTGTAGCATCAAACTGAAACTCCAGATTACTGACTGATATCTTATTCATTATCATTTAACATGAAAAAATGTGTC